GAAGGTCGTCCGTTCCTGGGGGGATGAAAGTAGTGATAACGAATTTAAAAATGGCCTCACTGTCATGCTAGCCCTCACACCAGTAGGATCCACCCTTATACCTACCATCAACCCCCGCTAATGCTTGCTCGGTGGCTATTTTATTACAAACTACCCTCTATAAATCTTGCCTAGCAGAAGAAGCCGATGAGGCGGGGCGGGTGGGGGGTTGCTAGGGCGCAAGACGTACAATGAGATGACAGCAAAATGGACATCTTTGACGGGGCTGAACGCCTCTCTAAGATCCTCTCCACAACTGGGTACGTCCTGGCCAGGGTAAGGGTCCGTGGCTTCTGCTGGGAGAACCTCCATGACCGAGGGTGGCGTCCCGATGATAGAACGCGACGCCTTCACCCTTGGCAGTTCAACAATACCCACTTTTGCCTTCTTTCCCGTTTCTACGTCCCAGCCTCTCCGTCCACCCTCGACCATCCCTAAACGAAAGCCACACGCGCACCTATCGCCCTCTCTGAGCTCGGACCTTCTTACGTCACCTCATCCCATCCCTCGACCCCAATAACTGCTAACTCATCACGTGGGTTGCATAGGAAAAATCGTAGGGGTTACTTTTAATCCGTATCACGTGCTATTAGTTGTTTCTAGGGTTTTAGCCCACTGGCCATAATCGGCCACACGTCGCACTACGAGTCAGCCTATTTTTCACCTGTATTACCTATTAGGCAATTTTCCTTTTTTTTTCCTCCGGCGGACGATGGGTTATACTCTTTTTATCTCCTTTTTTTTTTTACAAATTACCCCGACATGGATCTCCGTTAATTCGATGGACTATTCGAATTTCAAAGACGACCTTTTTATGTCTAACTGCAGACCTTATCTTGGGTAGTTTCCAAGTTACGACCATCTCCAGGATTCTTGATTTTCCAATTATCCATCGATCCGCGAGATATTCTCCTCGATGATTATCATGCTTGAACTTTCGAACGGGTCGTGACGGCCGCATGATTTCCCAGGCATTTTTTTTACTTCGTACATTATAACGCAGTAATGCTGATACGTATAATCCACCTATACGATGGATTCGTAGGGACATCTACTTATGGCTTTCGATACGAAAATTTTTATGGGCCGCAGTGAAATCTCTGTGAAAACGATAGAGAGTAGCTCGAAAATTCAAAATCTCTTCAACCCTTGTATAACTTTTCTTTTTTTCGATTAACGAACGAGCGAGCAGAATAATACTGAAAAACCGAATAAAAAGCAATTAGTCGGTCGGCAAGCAAAAAGTAGGTCGGTATCTCTTCAAGCACATAGCGTATAAACAGTAAGATTTGAAGGATAGAAAAGAGTGAAGTCAAGTCATTTGCGTAAACTAGGTGGAACCACTACCCATTATTGATACTCGCGTAAGAAATGACGCGGTTAACAGGGGGCGCAAGGAGATGACTGGAAAGTAAAAGTAAGAACTCCGACAGTAAGAAGGGGCGCGCGCCTGTCACCCTTATCTCGGTAAAGAGGGCGTTTTCCGATCAGTTAAACTTGACTAAACCTCAACAACGTTTTTTAAGAGTCTACCACCAGCGTAAGGGGCTGATAGAGTGCGAGGGGGCAGGGGGCTGCAGGGGATTGGAGAATTCGTTGAGCACGCTAGAAAGTGGTACAGGGGGGTGCGGGGTGGTTTTCCACGAGGAAGGATAAGTACAGAAGGAAGGAAGGAAGGATGAAGAAGAAAAAGAAGAAGAATCGTAAGGGTGCCCCATGGAGGAGTGCGCGAGGGGTTGGTAGTGGGGGGTTGACTCTGTTGGAGTGGAGTCGACTAGATTGAGACGTGATTGAAAACTCTGCCTCCGGCAACGAGGAGGTTCGATTTAAATATATTCTAAAGGATCTATCCCCCTCCACCCTCCCCCTACGCATCAACCAAGCTCCAAAGCTCTACCACCCCTTCTTCTTCTTCTGACACAGCTACAGATTTTCCAACTTCTTAAAGGTCTCTTCTTCCTTTTCCATTTCTTCCCTCTCCACCTGCCCTTAACTTCGGTCC